TATATATATGAATACAATGACTGTTGGCAACTTCTCCCTATGCTCTGTTAGGGTTTCCCTCTCATGGTTGTTCACTGTTGGCTCTTTCTGGAAGCAGGCAGTGGGTGCTCTCTTGCAGTTCTTCCTTGCTTTGGCCTCCCTGACTGGTGGCAACAACTTGGTGTTTTGGTTTGCTTGTTTTCCCCCTTTCAGGGCGACTATTTTTTCAAATTTTACAAATTTTTGCATTAAAAAGAGCACCCAATTTCAGCCGAAAAGATGCTTCAACAGATTTCTTAGGTCTCGCCAAAGACATCATCTTCACTGGGCTAGTTGGTAAAAACTGGCTAAGCCCACCATGGCTGGGGAGATTGCTTTTAAGGGACTCCAAAATCTCAAACTGGTTAACATGTGTAAATTGTGGATAAATTTTAGACAACAAAACATACTTTGGGCTCAATTTATGAAGGGAAAATATTGTAGAAACTCTTATCCCAATATGGTTGTCAAAAAATTGGGTGATTCTAAACTTTGGGCTAATCTTATGAAAAACAGACAAGAAGATGAAAGTCTCTTCATATGGGACTTGGGTAATGGTAAGGAGCAATTCCGTCATGATAACTGGTGCCCTGTTGGCCTTCTCCATCCTAGGACTTCTGAGCTTAATCCACAACTTAAAGGTTCTGATTCCTGGGAAGGGGACGGCTGGTTTGAAACTATCTTGCACTCCCTACTTGATAGCCCTATGCTGAGAGTATCTCCAAGCTACAATTTGACAGAACTAAACCTGATAAAATTGTGTGGCTTGCCAGCAAGACCCAGAGCCTAAATGAAGCTATTTACTCAAAATTGTACCATTGGGAGACTATCCCCTAAGGGAACATCATTTGGAACAAGTTCCTTACCCCTTCTATGTCTCTCCTTTGCTGGCAAGTATTCCACAAGCTGCTACCCACTGATGACCTCCTCAAATAAAAGGGCTTGAGGGGCCCCTCCAGGTGCTGTCTATGTTTCAAAGCTGAGGAATCCATCAAGCATTTTTTTTTTAATGTAAATTCTCTCAAGGGGTCTGGATGGAGTTTTCAAAGAACCTACAACTGGACACCATCAACCTGGACTAGCTCCACCTTACTTCTTGTCGGGTCAGCTGGCACAAATTCAACCTTGTTTCTATTCCCTTCCTTGTGGCTTGGTTCATATGGATGGCCATAAATCAGACAAAAATTGAGGAGAAGCCCTTACTTGCAGTCCAAGTTTCTAGGCACTGCATCTTTTTTCTCACCAAGCTGATAAAACCAAAAAAGTTCCCAAATATTTGTAACAGCTTCCTATATGATTGCACCCCTACTTTCACCATCTAAGGTTTTCTGGAAGAGCCCCTCCTCCCTTACTATTAAGAATAACAATGATGGGAGCTTTTCTGATTTGGGTGCTGGGGTTGGTGGTGTTCTTAGGAATCACCTGGGGCAATGCTTGTTTTACTTCCATGCCCCAACCATTGCAGTGGATGCCCTGAAAACTGAAGTTATGGCTATCTACTGGGCCATCAAGTTGGTCGCTATGAACAACTGGGTCTCTCTACAAGTGGAAATGGACTCCTCCTCATAGCTCCAATTCTTATCTGGTACTGACACCCCCTTTGGCATATTTCACAACGGGTCAGAAAGATTCACTAGCTCAGGACTCTTCTTAGTGTTCATCTCTCCTTCATCTACAGGGAGAGTAACAGACTTGCTAACTGTTGCCAGATTTACATGTCCATATATATATATATAAAAGGTATATAAATACCCTTATTTTGTAATGTAAATTTACTTAGCAAAGCTAGCAACCTGAAGGCTTTTCTGTCCAAGTGAATGTATGTGACTGCTGCTTTAGCACATGAAATGTTACTGAATGATTACAAAATCAAAGACGTCTTTTCATTCGACTTTTTTTAATTTTAAATTCCCGGGGTTGGGGGCACGGTTTGTAATAAAAAGGCTAACTTAGCATTACAATCTTACAGGTAGGAGAGCACTTTGCCAGCTTCCTTGAAATTCTTCTCCGAACATGATGTTAAAATAATAATAATAATAATACTCAATTTGAAGGCTGGTTTTTATTCTTGTGATTTCTTAATTGTTTTATATAAAATTAGAGGCTTGATTTATTCTCTGTAAAATCAAGTAATAAGCGACAAGGCTTGCTTTTAATCAGTATGAACCACATCCACATTGCACGATGCTGTAGGTCTCAAAGTTCCCGCCTACGGGCCAACAAGACTAATAAACATTCCCCAGCAAAGACTCCATGAAATTCCTCAGTTGAACATAAGTTTATCATTTATCCTTTTCGAAATGCTCTTCAAGGATATATATATATATATATATAAGACATATATATATATATATATATTCTGTACCCCCACCGCACGATTATATAAAATGAAATGGGCAATTGTTTTGTTTTAGAAATGCATAATAAACATCGAATTATCAAATTTTCTGTAATAAATAGTTTCAAATTTCCAGTACTAAGTTGTCAAAATAAAGATGACAAAACCTTATTAAAAACTTTCTATTGATTATACTATTTTAATCTACTTATATGCAATACAAACACAATAACTACAACTAAAAATAAAGAAAAAACGATCATAAACAATACACTTGTCCTAACAATTTATTCTATTTTAATATATATGAAATGATTATTATCATACGGCCCTTCTTAATCTCACATCATCAATTATCAAAACTCATGAGTAGAGAGACTCAGAAACATCTTGTATATAATTATAATAGAATTTATTCAAAAACAATCTGCAAAAGCAAATATAACACTTACTAATGCACACAATTTTGAACACGCTTCTAACACCCAGGCAAAAGTAGTAAGGATTTAGGCACTAGTGAATGATCTCAAAACAAAACGGAAAAAAAAATGTATGCTTCTAAGAATTATAAAATTTATAAATTGGTTAAAAACGTTAAATACAACAAAGAGAACCGCATGATTCAAGTTCACATAAACTATTTAATCATTACTACTAGGAAAATCAGAATAAACATAATCCACACAGACAAATGAAGGGGAAGAATGAGGGCATAGAAATAAGATAGAAGGGCTAACACTTAATGGAGATCTGGATACTGCCATGGGTTGAACTTTATTGATTTGACATCAACCTCCTCTATGGTATCTGAATTGTCGATAGAAGCCCTGCGCTCTGTGTAGTTTCCATTGTATTCGTAGACTTCAAGATCGCCCCAAGGTGTGGGAGTAATTTCACCTGTAATGTTAAACCATTTTGGGCGGAACTGGTCCCCCCGGGCTTCTCTGTGTTTCTTCTCAGCTCTCTGCTGCTCTTCCAAACTGAAGCCATGGGGACAGAAGGATATGAAGACTAAAAATCAAGTTTTGTCGATGGTGATATATCTTAATAATATATTCTAAATTTCCTAAAATTTTAGAGATTCATAAAGGCATAAAAACATACAAAAAGAATTGAGGAAATAAAGAAACTCACTTGCTCTTTTCAGAACCAGATTTGGACAAGTCGCCCAGTTCTAGTGCAAATCTATCAGGCCGCAAGCGGGAATCAGAAGGTAATAAATTTTTAGGCGCAGTGTCAAAGCTGTTTATTCTATGGGCAAAATGAGTAAACTGGAACTTATCATTCGCTGGGGTTGGAGCAACTTTCCATACCTACACAGAGATCAAAAGAATAGGGGGTGGAAACATTAGATCTGCCTGAAAGCCAAGCTAAAATACAAAAGGCAGATATTTCAAAAAATAGGCATTTACATAAATACCACCCAATTCCTATGTATTTACATATCTAAGACCTAAACTTCACTTATTACATTAATACCACCAAAATTTTTCACTGCTACAACTTTTAAAAACTGAAATACACTTTTTCATTGTATAGGTAAAGTGGCATGTATGAAAAAATGAAGTTTAGGTTTTAGATATGTAAATGCATAGAAATTCAGTGGTATGTAAATTCAAAAAAATAAATGGTCAATGACGTCCAAAGAAGGAAAACAATCCTAAACATGCGTAATAGTAGATCAACCGATCCATATATGAAATCCTCCAGCTACACAAGTCCTAGATACATGTGTTCAAAAACTGAGATCTCTTAACCAGTTTAGAAATGCCACGTGCATGCCCAAAGTTGGGTATGCAGGGCTGGATTGTCTCAAGAAGCTTATTAGAAATAGTAAAATTTCAGCCCGGGCTGACATATATATATATAATTCCTTAAGGAAACAATAGAGAAAAAAAATCCTTGAGGAAGTAGTTTTATTTAACTGAAAAAGAAATGCAAGGCTTAGAAATACTTTGTAGAATAGAGTAATGAGCATTCTCTGAACATCAAATGTAATCCTCAACTGTAAACCATTATATTATTTATGATTTAGGCAAGCATGTTAAGTTACTGACACCAACTCGTTACCTTCTGCGACAACACAAGATGTTGTGCTTCTGATAAGAAAAAAACTTCATATAAGGTATGTCAAGAATGCAGATAATATGAGGTTTTATGCCTCTAGAAATTCAATCACATATTATTGACATTTAAAATCATATAAAACAAAAACAAAATTAATTATTCTTAAAATCATATAAAACAAAATTAATTATTCACAAAACCATATCTCATATTAGGGAGAAGGATAAAGAAGACTACTCAAACTTAAAGCTTATTACATATCTAAAACTCAAACAAATTTTAGATATGTAAATGCATTGAATGCGGTAAGGCTTGACAACATTTTCTGGGGGAAATTCTCTCCTTATACCAAGGTGAGGTTTGGGACTTATATTTTGATACTTGTAAACTTAGGGTATGTTTGGGGCATCTGCAGCTTATTGACAATCTGCTGATAAGGAGCTGATTCGGATAAGCTGGTTGATTGTTTGTTTTATGCTGTTGGAAAACTGTTGATTTGCAGCTGATTGTTGATAAATGATCATTCTGCCGCTATGCAAAAATAGTTTACAAAAGAACTGTTATAGCAATATATTTGATACTTGAAAAGAAAAAATCACTTCAGAACATTAGAAAAATTAATATACACACCACATAACAGTGACTATCAAGTGTGTTTTAAGAAAAAGAAAAAAGATAATAAAATTACATTTAAAAAAAATGATAATATTCATTTTAAAATCCAGACGGTGTATGTCCCGAACCCATCGGACAATTAGCAATGTCAGTCATGGCCAACCAAAGGGCAAGCCTAACCCCCTCGTTATAAATAAAACTTCTCTTTATATTAGTGTTCCAAGTTTTATGCCAAATGGATGAAACAAGACAAGCCGACAAGCTGAAAATGAGGTAAAAGTGCAGCAACGATAACCCCGAAAAATCAAATACCCAGAATCAGAATTGCAGAACTGCCACAATTCAGGCAGCAATATGCGAGCATCATAAAATAAAAACCCCATCATAACAGTGAGTAAAAAAAATCATTGCATCATAACAGATAAGGCATATCCAAAATGTCCCCACCAATTACACTCCTCTACTCCACAGCCAGAACACCAACAACACACATAGCTACATCACCCACATGTTCTTGAGACAAAAAAGCAATAAGTACACACAATGATCACCACCAATACAGGTACAAGAGGTTCATAAATGATGGAAGACAAGAGAGAAAAGTATCATTCAAATCCCTGTCATAAACATCATTAAAATTCAAAGTGTCAATCGTAGCTACCATTTAGCACCTAGTAGTAATACATTAATATATCAGAAACCTTTGCAAAGGCCACCAACTACAAGATCTCCTCAACAGCAACTTAAGAAGCCCAATAATTCAAAAATGATACATATAGAAGATGGAAGCTTGCTAAAACCCAAGCTAAAGTATCATATGAAGTTCCCCTTAGCTTATCAGACCAACGACTCAAAATCCATCCAGAATACCGTAAAAGACAAATCAAAAATATCAAAAAGACACAGAGAACCGCATGAGGAAAACCAAAAATCCTGAGGAAAAAATCTCAGGCACCAATATGTAAAATCTCGCAAAAAATTCCAACACAGAGAGCTAAAAATGACAAGAGGAAAGTTATGATTCCATCGACAACCACATAATTACACAGAGCCAAAAATCACAGGAAGGGCGAGAGAGACGCGAGCGAGGGAGATCGATAGTAAAGCTAGGGCAAGGAGAGGGGCGTAGGATCTAGATCGAAAGGGCATTCGCGGTCGTGATCCTTGGAAAATAACTCACGTCTCACCGTGCGTTTCCGGATCTGCCCACCGAATTCAATTACCAAACAATTCGTCAACATTTTAAAAACACAATACGCATAAATAAGCTGCCCCAAATGGTACCGTACTCTTTCATCCAATTACAATATAAAAATTGTACATGATTGAAATTTGATCAGACAAATTATAAATTGGTTCTCCCTTTATGGGTTGCATGAGTTTATGTATTGTTTAATGTTGGATTTCAAGCAATCATTAAACTACCATTCCAAAGCTTCAATTTATTAATATTATTATTATTATTATTATTATTATTATTATTGCATTAAAAGAAATTAAACATTGTCCATATTAAGAGTTAGTAAACTTGAATCTTGATCTTTTTTGTATGCATTAATGCATCACATCCAAGGTCTACATCAGAGAAGAAGACTTGCATCATATTTGGAATCATAACTTATGATTGCATCATCATGTCAATAAGAAATAAAAAATATTAATTGGTCAATCAAAAAATGATTAAATAATAGAATTTAAATGAAATTATACAATTTATGATTCTAAATAAATAGAATGTAAAAATTGTGTGGTTCAAATTTACATTCATTCGTTCAATGGGAGGTATATCTGGGAATTTTCAGAGTGAATTGATAAATTGAAAGACCCCTTAGAACATCGCCAATGCCTGATTCTAAAAAAAAATTGCAGTTGAAATAAATTTAGTATGACATGAATAATTATTTTGTTGAAGCGTTCCAGGTAAGAAAAAGAAAACAACATAGAATAGAATTAGACGAATTTGAAGAGCCAAATCAGCCATCTAGAGAATATAGAGAGCAACTGGATAATCAATTTAAGCACAGTAAACAAAGCAATTTTGATGTGTTTAAGGCGTTGTTTGATTTGCTACAAAAGACAGAATATTGCATTCAAAATGCAAGGGTTTTAAAATTTGGGTATTTGGTTTGAAGACACTGAGGTTCAAAATAAAATACTGTGTAAAAACACAATGAATTTCAAATGCAATATTTAGTTCATTCTCACTTAATTTCAAATTCGCCAAATTTGGACGAATTTCAAATACTCTCCAAAATATGGCCATGTGATTGTCCCTTGCACCAACTCTCTTGCTGGCCTCTGCCATTGCCACCGTCTATGGCTGCCACAGTCATCTGTCGACCATCAATCACCATTGCCCACCACTTATTAGCTACAACACCAATTACAGTCTATGCCCCTCGAAGCAAGTTATCACCTGCCTCCACCACCAAGTATTGCAGCCTGTTGTTGTCGCCACTAATAGCCACTGATGGCCACCAATAGCTAGCCACCACTCACAAATTTTATACCACATTTGGCGAGTACTAACCAAACACAAAATTACAAATTCATAAATTGCCAATATATTCATCCAAACAATATTTACTTCTCAAAACAGTACATTATTTTCCACAACATTTCTCTTACAATGCAATCACTTCTCAGCAAACCAAACAACCTCTAAATAATGTGCAAGATTTTCAGTGTTCAATCTATGACTTTATTTCATGAACATTCTAACAATGTTAAATTCTTCCTTTTTTATCTCCTTTTGAATTTACATATAACAATTTACTTGATAGTTATATACTCCTTATTACAGAACATCTTGCATTCTTCTATTATGTCGACTAATAATGGGAAATACCAAGAGTATCTTGTGAGCTGGAATGAAAAACAAACTTAACTTGTGATTATTCGTTGATTACTTTGCATGTAGCATATCAACTATGCCCATTTTTTCTTAACAAATATAATAACTTAATTATCATAGGTGATATTTTCATATTGGGAGAATTATGCAAACTGAAAATCAATAATTCAACGACTACGCAAATTGTTTTCTTTGATGTTGTTTTAGTTTTTTTTTTTTTTTTTTTTTTTTTTTTTTTCTACTTTTATTAAATATAAGATACCTATGATGATGATGATGTTTATGAGAACAATGTGTTCTCTAATTTTTTGTAATACTTTGATTAATTTGGATTTATGGCCTGGACTTCAAGAAAGTCAATTTAGCTCCCATCAAATTCCATGAATAAGTTTTTTTAATTCCTTATTTAGTGCCTCCAGTGCTTTGATTTATTTTTCTTCAGCAACTATTTGAAGATTTAATATTGCTATTATTATTCTTTACTTGCTTCCTTCAAGATTGTGGCCTATAGCAGATATTGGATTCCCTTTGTTTTCATGAATGTTGTACCTACAAATAATTGGCTCAGCAGGAGGGGTTCTGCCAAAAATCCCAACTTCCCTTGGGGTTAGAACATGGTCCCATATAACCTTTCTGTTTCAGGTTATCCCATTCAATCTTAAGGAAATGAGGCATCCTTGAAAGTTGCATATAGCATTTCACTAAAAAAAAGGGGGTACAAAAGTATGCAAAAAATGTAACTAAGCATGTACAAAATGAGCACTATTATTTAAAATA